GAATTGGGTTTCGTTTAGAGGAGCTATTGATCCCTTTTAGTCTGTGCTTGTGTGCCAGACGGAGCATAAATGTGGGGTTTGTCCCCAGCAGAAAAAAAAAAAGTTTGTGATAGTTAAAAGACAAGAAGAGCAGATGAAAATAAGAGTAAAGAAAAGCAGAAAGTGACAATTGAGATGGCCTTTGGTAAATGGGGAATAAAAACAGGAAACGAGACAAACTAAAGAGGGCCAAAGATCCAGTCTTTCTCAAATGTTTCCCATCATTTTGTAACATCCAGTCGATTTAAAGTCCGGAGAAGGCTTCCTGTTTCTCCAGAAATTATTTAATATCTTCAAGTAAAAATAATGTGCATAAAGTGTCCAAAAAGAGGACTTTCCCTCTCGTGGAACTTCTTCATATTTTGCTTTTTTTTCAGACTGAAAGGGTTTGGATCATCAACATTTTTTAATGAAAAAAAAAAGAGAAAAATGGTTAAAAATAATGATGGATTTTATAAAGGGAAGAAAAAAAGAGCTTCCAAACCGACTGGACCCACTGTGAAACGAATGAAATGTGATTTAACCATATTTGTTGCTTCAGTACCTTCTAACACGCCCAGGGCGAGCACTGCCTGACATGTAGAATCAAGATATCCTTTAGATAAAATCTGTCCGACAACTTGAAGAGGGAAAAGAGATCTCACATCTTCCTAAAGAAACATATGAAGCAATGAGAAGCAAATGTGTTAAATTCTATCGGTCTCAAAAAGGGTCTTAAAGCCTTTTCTCAAGCCGACCACGGCCATACCTTCCACAAAACAATTAGGAAACCTTTTCTAACCTTCCCATGCATGGCTAACCTGCTGAAATTACTCCAAGATGCAGCAATTGCTGCTCCAGGTGGACACGACATGTAAAGTACTTCAGATGCTTCATTTACTATCAATGTTCACTATTCGATAAGAGGTGGTGTTCAGTTAGACCAGCATACCCATAGTCAATACACATGCGCAAGACCTCAGATTTGCATTTATTCCTTCAATTTTGTACAAAAAATAGACCCTAAACTACCTCGACAGGCGGGTATCCCTTTAGCCAAGTACAAAAAAAAACAATTTAAGATGAGATCAAGTAAT